TCACAGCGACATACGTCGCAGCCAACTGATCCAATCATTTTAAACTTCAGCAGAGGCCACGCCTCCTGCAAGAAATTGATTCTTTATGCATCAAGTCCAGACCCTCGTAGAAGCAAAGTGAAGGACAGGGTCTGGTTTAAACCAGGCTAGATTTTTGTTGTCCCATGCCTTTTTTGTGCAGAGTTTGACAGCAGATCCAAACCACCCAAAGTTATCTGAATAACGGACTCGCAGCTGCAGGACAACAAACACAAACATACTTGTATTGCTGATGATCCTTTGTGCTGCGTGTTTTGGCCATGAACCGCTCCGCCAGCTTCTCCAGGTTYCTGGAGTATTCCGTCTCGATCTCGGACTTCTTCCTGAAGAAGTCCTGCAGGTCCTGGAGCAGCTGGACCCGCATCTCCGTCTGCTGCTCCAGACAGCGCTGCTGCTCCACCAACTGGGTCCGCACATCTGCAACACAAACCCGGAAAAATCATCTTTCATCTGAAGATTAAACCAACGATTGATTTAACGTCAGCGGCCGTGACGGGCGGGYGATCATGTAATTCTGCTTCTGTTCTCAGAAAATAATCATTTGACGTTGTTTACTGTACACYTGATTAACTTTCGGTGTCTGATCCAAGATGGCCGCCACAGCTAATCCACTTCAGCAAACAAAAATGGCTGCCAGTCAGCTAATGTTGCAGATACTGAGCTAAAATGTAGTGCGTTAGCAGCCGAAAGTCATCGCCAACATTTACCCTGAGCTAAGAACAAATGTGAGATCTTTGTTTAGAACCTGGGGATGTTAGTTGTTTCACTATAATGACATAATTGTGATTTTTAATGATAATATTGATTTTAGGTGACATCATTTTGTGTTTTTGCTTCATAATTTTTGATAAACCTGCAGATTTTCTTATAAAATGTTACACTTTTTTTGTAATTTGCTTCTTTATTTTGTTCATCTTTACAAATGAAGGCTGTCTGTTTGTCGCTGATGGAGTCACCTTGGACTAGATCCTACACACACACACACACACACACACACACACACACACACACACACACACACACACACACACACACACACAC